TATGTGTATATGTGTATATATGTGTATATGTGTATATATGTGTATATGTGTATATATGTGTATATATATATATATGTGTATATATGTGTATATATATATATATGTGTATATATGTGTATATATATATATATGTGTATATATGTGTATATATATATATATGTGTATATATATATATATATGTGTATATATGTGTATATATATATATATGTGTATATGTGTATATATGTGTATATGTGTATATATGTGTATATATGTGTATATATGTATATATATTTATATTTATTTCTACAGTGTGATTATTGTATGATTGCAAACTCTTCAGGTTCTTAACTGTCAAAATCCAATTCAAGAAGATGTTAAATGTCTATTCCATCAGTGTCTGAGTGTGTCTGTGCTTCCTGTCTTACAACATCCTCTTCCCTCTTCCTCCTGTGCCCTGCAGCCAAATGGGAGATTTTCTCAGAATACCAGGCATGTGTGGAACACAAAATCACCTCCACTTTATAGGGAGGCATCAACAGTTCTGAGAACATCAAGTTCTTTCTCACCTCCCTATGTCCTTGCACGCTCACAAACACACACACACACACTCTCTCTCACACACGCACACACAGGCTTACATACAATAATTCAAGTTTAACCTCGGTGTGTGAGTGTGAAACACGATGACCCACGCCACAGTGTAGCTGTGGTGCGTTTAGCCCTCGGGTCGGCCCCTCACTGACGTCTTGTTTAGTACAAAATGTTTTGTCTCTCTTTCAGGTATGTTGGGGACATGCTGGCCTGGCTGCACCAAGCCACCGCCTCGGAGAAAGAGCACCTGGAAGCTCTGCTGAAACAAGTCACTGTGCAAGGTATGCTGTCTCCTGCATGCTAATCACACATGCTGCACTTCATTTCACACCTTGAATTACAAAGCAAAAGTATCACACGTACATCTGTTTTATATCTTATACTCAATTATATTTTATCATGTGTTTTATTCCTATATTTTAACTTGTGCACTATTTTGTTTTTGTTTTACGTCTTGTGTGATTCTCCTGTTTACTACTTCACATGTTTTATACATTCTGTAGTAGCATTGTTTGAGGGAGCCTAAGAATAGCTACTACTCCAGTAAATGTTGCGTATATGACAAAGACTAAATCTTTGTGCACTCTGAGTTTAAATACTGGCATTGCTGTCACCTGCCTAAACCTTTTGTATTCATTAATACCGTGCTTGTATTCATGGTCGCCTCAAAACAATCCCAGATACCCTGACTACTGGTGTGTGTGTGTGTGTGTGTGTGTGTGTCTTCCTCTCTCATTAGGTGTGGAGGAGAACATGCAGGAGGTGGTTGGACACATCACTGAGGGAGTCTGCAGGCCGCTGAAAGTGAGCAACCAAATACGTTTCAGGCGCTGTTAAAGAAACACTGAGCACAGCTCTGTTGAATACGTGTCGTTTTCTGTCGTGTTCTGCTCATGTCCTCACTCGGTGTGTTGTGGATCTGTCCCTCAGGTTCGGATAGAGCAGGTCATAGTGGCTGAGCCAGGCGCTGTCCTGCTGTACAAGCTGTCCAACCTGCTCAAGTTCTACCACCACACCATCAGGTATGTTAACTCACTCGGTGGGCAACAGCTTTCAGAATCAGTTCATAATTTAAGTCATTCAAAAAACAGATGTTGATACATTTTTTGCTCATTTGGGTATTTGGTGCTTTTTTTGATTTATTGTAAATTGAAAACAGGTTTGTTTTGCACAGTCAGATGGACAAACAAGCAATTTAAAGATGCCACTTCAGTTCTCCTGGACAAGCTCCAATGAGCATTTTTTGTTGTGTTTTCAAAAGACGCGTATCATTTATAATGTAAATAATCAATGATCTTTGTCCAGTTCCATCATTGGGACCAGTGTGGCCTCTTTGCTCATCACTATTGAAGAAATGCACATCCTCAGCAAAAAGATGTTCTTCAACAGCCTGAGCCTTCATGCAAGCAGACTCATGGACAAGGTACAGTACGAGTAGGATGACTTCTATTTGAATAATCCACAGTATTGTTTTCTGTTGTACAGATGCGAGAAAGTGACTGGTAGGTAAACAATGCCACCACCTGAGAAGAGAGAGAAGAAGTAGTTTTTAAAATGCAGGCTTTTCGCCTCGTTCTTTCATTAAAAACGCGTAAATGATTGTGCAGAAGTTCAGTGTGAACCCTTCAGACACTCATTGTGTATTTCAGCTCTGCGTCGAAACCCTCAAAGACAACAAGGCTATTTCTGAAGCACTTGTGCTTGTAAACAGTTTCAGCCTGCTGGCCACAGCATCCAAATGCCGCTCGCTGCCAAAAAACACCAAACTTGTTACGCTTTAGTTAAATTGCCGTCCAAATATACCTCGGCACGGGCGGGACCTCTTCCCCATAACATGCTGGCTGTGTCCTGATCAATAGCAGTTACAAGAATTATCCCTGTAGCTCGGGTGTTAATCAAATTGGAGGCCCTCAGGGTTTTGGTGTCAATTCCAGCTAATGCCAGGAACACAGCCTTCTCATAATTTGCTCTATTAGGTGGACAACGGTGGCTGGGCTCAGTTCTGTGTTGTGTATCCAGCAGCCAATGAAATCAAAACCCTCTTCGTTAAAAAAAAGAAGCTCTACTGACTGCGAACAAGCTGAGGCTCCAAGTAGCAGCAGGAAGCAGTCATATACTCGATCTGTCATGCTGCTCATTAGGGAAGTGTAATGCTTTGATAACGTTACGAGGACCGCTTGTCTTGGTGAAGGCGGCTACAGCACACGCACAACTTATCTCTGCAAGAATAACTTTTTTCCCTTTTGCACCATCGTCTAATATCCTGTCTTCTTCCGTCCGTGTCCGCCTGGGCAGGTGGAGCTGCCACCTGCAGACTTGGGACCCACATCCTCCCTCACTCAGACCCTCTCTCTCCTCAGGGAGGTGCTGGCCTCCCACGACTCGTCGGTGGTTCCTCTGGATGCCCGCCAGGCCGACTTTGCTCAGGTGAACTCGCATGCAAACTGTGGAAAAAGTCAAACGCGTCTCCCCTTCATAGTCATAGTGAACCAGTTGCTCTGAATTTATCTGATATAAATGTGTTATTATTTGCTTTTGGTCACCCGCCAATGATATTTCACTCATCTCTTTTTCCTTTATCTTTCCCAGGTGCTCTCTTGCATCTTGGATCCTCTCCTACAGTTATGTACCGTGTCTGCCAGTAACCTCGGCACTGCTGACATGGCTACCTACATGGTCAACTCCCTGTATGTCATGAAGACAACCTTAGCTCTCTTTGAGTTCACTGACAAGAGGCTTGAGATGCTCGAATTCCAGGTCTGTCCTAATAGTAAACAATAATGAACTATTAATAGTGAGTCAGACAATGAAATTAGTTTATTCATGTTGTAGGTATTTAGCTATTTTCATTTCATTACAATTAGTCAAGGGCATGAAACTAACGATGACGAACCAAACCTTAGTTGGACGAGACAACTGAAACTAATGTCATCTAACACTGACACTCACCTTACAGTTCTCACGTTGTCCGTGCGCAGAGGCATTGTTCATTGAAAATGATTCGCCTTCCTTTCATTAAAGCCCACAAAGCCCAAGTCTTTTATTAAAAAGATTTAATTTGCTATCTAATAAAAGCGTATGCGTCATGCATTGTTGTTCATGCTCAAACGCGCCATCTAGACTCTATTTTTAGCACGTCTTTTGTAATTGAGCACCACAAGAGCTCCTGTGGAAGTTTCATTATCAATAGCGCAGTGGTTCTCTATCAACCACAAGTACCATCGGTTCACAATGCGGGCTCGGACCGTGTGTTAAGCCACTCTACTCTCTCTCTCTCTCCCGCGTTTTCTAGATCGAGGCTCACCTTGACACCCTGATCAACGAGCAGGCGTCCTATGTGCTGACCAGAGCCGGACTGAGTTACATCTACAGCTGTGTCCAGCAGCATAGTGCTGAGCAGGTCTCACATGAAGCACTCAACTCCACATTCACATGTGCTCACTCATCAAGTTATAGAACTGTGAAGAACTGTTTTTTTCTCTCTCTCATCTTTCCTGTTACAGTCCCTAATGGTCTCCTTTTTCTGTATTTTATAGGCCCTAACAATATTGTTTACGCTACCTCTTTTGGCTATTGCTATGGTTACCACATGACAAGTGTCTTTATTAGGGCATAGTAGCATTTCGATCACATGTTCAGATGAGAAAAAAAGGAGAGAGGGAGGCAGATCACATTATGTTCTATAACAAATATACCAGCTTCTCCAGAGCCGTCCTGTGCAAATGAGAGAGCTGATGCCCTGGATCGCTCCGCCCTCTTTGTAACACACTGCGCTCACCGAGACCCATAGTTGTGGTTTAGCATGCGAGTCTTGAAACCCTGGGTCATGTCAGGACACACCACACCCTGCTGCTGCAGCTCCAGTGCAAAGCTCAATCAAGAACTGTCATTCTTCTCGCAGACTATACCTCTCTCTCCTTGGGTGGCCTGTCTCAGGTTTGCTTTAAATAGTCCTCTGTTTGAAAAGATTAAGTCTAGCTGTCCACACTTGACGGCATACCAGACTGAAAAGAATCCCATAAGTTTATTTTAGACTTTTCAGCTTTACCTTCAAGATCTGCTTGACATTTTCTCCTTGTTATTGTCTCTGATACATCAGATGAACAAGTCGCATACAAGACAACCGTGATGAAAACAACACTGGCTCGTAGCTAGCCGATGAGTTTGCAGGCTCGTAGTGCGTTTGTTGACGTGCCTACGTCCCCATAAAATCCCTCTCGGTACTGTGCTCTAGCTTCGACCCTTGCACTGCCTTCTATTTGCTGCTTTTAATGTTGGCAATTAAGGCATTTAAGCTTGACTTAATGTTGCCATTCTGAACAATCAGTGTCAACTAATTGCCTTAAAGGTACCAGCTGTTGTGTTCACACAAAGTCAGTCATGTCGTTAGCGATCAAGAGTAAGGGAGGATATTTCTCTTCTTTTCTCCGTTTACAAATCAAGATTCACAAAGTACAAGTTCAGTGTATTCAAAAAACATATATTTTTTCATCTTCTGTACTGTAAATTAGGGCCAAATATAAACGGAAGTTATCACATCACCAAAGTATGAATCTCTTACCTACTTAAATTTACTCTCTTTGTAGTTTTTCAACGGATGAATAGTCTGAATCCCATATAATTTAGTTCCAACAACCCATGACATCAAACAGATGTGTAACCAACCAATCAGCCGTTTAAAAAGCAACCCAGCATGACAAAGGAAGTGTCCTGAACTGATGCACATGCACTATTTATAGTCATTGAGATAAATGTGACATTTTATTCTGAGACGGATCAAAGGTAGGAAGCAGTAAGACGCACTGATGATGTGTGTTTTTTTTTATATAAAAGAAATGATCCTTATTATACGCCCGTGTGGTCATTCATTCAGCCATCATCATATACTCTGCCTGAGGGGTAATAGACAAATGAGAAAGGAAGAAAACCTTTCGACACTGCCTGCACATTCAACATCGTTGCTGTTCAAACACCGCGACCTCGAGTTGGATTCCAAGCTGATGTTGACTTTTCTGTCTCAGGGTCCTCTGTCGCTCCTCCCCAGCATGGACAGCTCCTCTGTGAAAGCAGCGATGGTGAGTTTCACTGTGTTAATGAAGCAAACCTCTCTGCAGGAATCAATAAATATAAACTTAATGATTATAATTCTTTGACTCATCCCACAAACAACAGGTCCAGTTCGATCGGTACTTGTCGTCACCTGACACTCTGGTGATGCCACAGCTCAACTTCCTGCTCAGTGCGGCCATCAAGTGAGTTCCTATCCCGGTTGTTGACAATAGCTCTTTCTGTCCAGGGGGAAGAACAGCAAACAATGCAATAATCAGGCGTGTTAAATGTCTACAACATGGTGCTTCAGCAAGGTATACAGCAACCTCAGAGTGCTGGAAATACAGCAGGAGCGTCGGCGCAACATTCATTAGTTTCCCCGATGTAATACGATCATTACTGCATTCCAAATGAAACACTCAAACAAATGCACGCCGAGCTCGGATGAAGCCACCAAAACATTGAGAGAGGGGTCGGCAGGACTGCCTGTATTTGTCTTACTGATCAGGAAATTCATATGCTTTTAGCTCAATCCAGCTGCTACATTGGAGGGCTCTTTCTATGAGTCACGTTTACTGGGAAGTGCAGCAGGCTTGAGGAGCACTCTGTACCTCAGGTTAATGTTCTCTATTAATGGACATGGGAGGACTGATGGGCAGGACGCCATTAATTAGCTTCTGGTCCATTTCTCACTCACACTCGTTCCCTGAAATCGTTCCTACTCTCTCTCTCTCTCTCTATCTCTCTCTCTATCGCTCGCTCGCTCTCTCGCTCGCTATCTCTCTCTCGCTCGCTCGCTCGCTATCTCTCAAGTCTGCTTCTCTGCTCACCTAAACACACAAAAACACCCGCCATTACTCTGAAAAGGCTCCTGGAGTTCACAAATAATGGGAAATTACTTTTAGACTCCCATTGTTTCACAGTTCGCGTTAGAACCATAGTGCTGCGTCTAAAACATTACTCCATACCAAATGCACTGTGTCCTCTGTGGGCCAATTAAAAATATGGATCTCAAGAGCCTGAGTTGGATACAACCGAGGCGCTCCCACTGTGTCCTTGGGTCCTCTCACTGGGCTCTTCAGTCCGACTGTTGCATCCTCCATTTGTGCTCCACTACAAGAAGTAGTCAGATATGTTGAGTTTTTATGACAAATTATTTTTAAAGGAAATCAAACTTTAGAACTAAGATGATGAACAAAATCATAAGAAACCTTACAAGATATGTTAGATATAAAAAATGCAACATAAGTATTATCTTGTTTTAATGGATTAATAATTTGGTCTATAAAATGTCATCAAGTGACCAATCATCCAACCAAATGTAGTATAATCGATGATCCAAAAAGTTGCTGACTAACTTTTTTGCAGCACTAAAAGAATACAAAAATCTGTATGACATCACCGAATTTGATTTGAAACATTTGTATAGATGGGTCCAGAAATCCATGAAACTGTACTTTACATTTTTAGATTATAAGACGGCTGCAAATATTGATTAGAGGGAATAAAATGGCCTCTTTACTTTGCTGTGGCTGACACCTGATGCTTCTGCATTTATGCGGTGATATGCATCCATAGATGGCAGTGTGCACCACATACTGCCACCCATTGTTTTCACACAGTGGTCACTGAACATAATTTAAAAAAACAAGTAATTAGGAGAAAATTCTTACTTGTAGCTAACTTACTCGGCTCTTCGAGCGTAGCTCTGCTTGTCTGATTTAGACCTGTAAGGCCCACTCACTGCTGCTACTTTTGTTTTTCTGAGTATAAAAAGGTAAAGAGCTCTCATCTGTGTTTGCAGGGAGCAGATTTTCCGTCAGTCCACAGAGCTGGTGTGCAGAGCCTATGTGGAGGTTCACACCGTGCTCACCAGCCCAGCGAACAGCTACAAAGACCCAGAGAACCTGCTTCCCAGATCACCTCAGCAGGTTCAGGCCTTGCTGTCCTGAGAGACACCTTTTTTTTTTTTTTTTTCCCCCAACCTGGTTGATCTTAAAAGCACGAGGTGAGCCCCAGTGAAGGTTATTTAAGGAGCGGTGTGCTTTGTACAGCATAATAACATATACAATAATATAAAAAGTAGTCGTTAAGGTGGGGTTCTTCTTTGTGGGATGTGGGTCACTGACCTCAGAGAGAGAGAGAAAGAACATTATATGTATATGATCTTATTTACTTTCACTGCTGTGGACAGTCGGCTCATTATTCTCTCTGTAAAGCACATGTGTGTCCGTCTTTCTGTCTGTTTTCACACCATGTACTCTCTTCTACCATGTCCATAATTGTACAAAATAATGTATTTTTTATTGAAAACGTTGAACATTATATAAAAACAAAAGGGTACACTTAATTCAAGAGACTCGTCTTATTCTTCCACACTTAAAGAGTGGTCAGGGGAAAACTCAGCCACAATGTTAAGAGGAACCTCAGAAGCTTCAGGGCCAACGTTGTGTTTATGTTCATCTCAACTGTTTTGAGTTGGGATGAAATGGAAAAGTCTGTCTTACCGTCTCGTTTGGCTTTTCAACAAAATGTCCATGCTGACTAAGATGTGTAAACAAGACAAATTCTACCTTTAAATGTCCTTATAAAACGCATTATGGTGTTTCAGATGGAGAACAAAAAAACACTTCTCATACATTGTTATTTTTTTTTCCATTCGGGCCGCAATGCATTGTCTGAAATGATGAAGTGGTGACATTTTGGACAGACATGGATGTAAACTGCAATATGACTGGTTGGCGGAGGTATACAACCTTATAGTTTGGATATATAAAGTGATGTTTTAGTATACGACAAGTGTTCTCTATATAATGCAGTGGTGACCAGAATAAAGTAATATAGCATTATCTATTGCTCCTTTCTAAAATAAAGGTATGAATAAAAGACTCAAAAAGGCTTTAGTTTCACAAGGATAATCTCCGTCTTTCATAAATATAAATCTATAAAATCCAAATGGATTGATTTGCGATATTATCTGCAAAGTAACCAAATGCACATTCAGGACATTTGATCCCGATAGTGTGCCCTTTTCCTCGAAAGTAAACATGATGGCGTGTGATATAATATCATTGAATATCCGACACCACCCAGCCCACATAATCCCCAATAAAGCACCACTGAAACAGTAACAACATGTGTATATTGATCCCGCCTGTTGTTCTGGTATCTGGCCTGAGAGGCAGCATTTCATTCCTGCTATCTGACATCAAGGTTCATGGCAGCAGGCCTGATCTTGGCACCTCTGCCAGCACTGAGACCCAGGATTTCCCCAGCTCACCGGATGTAACTCGGATATCATTGGCCGGGACATTGAGTACTGGGAATAAATGGAATACCGCAAGATTCAGCATCTGGACGGGTGCTCTTAAATCCTTTAAATAGACCAGCTCGCTCTTCCAGTACTGCTTGGCTCCGGTCGGATACAAGCTGGATTCTCGAGTGTTTTCACTCAGCACTCTTTGGCAAAAAAAAGTGGGATGATGTTTGAATAACAACATTATTGTTCATGTGTAACGATACACACGGTGCACGCCCTCACTTACTCAGCTTCACATCGTGTGAGTGTGAGAGTGTGTGTGTGAGAGAGTGTGAATACGTGTGGGCCTTACACAGTTCAGCGTGTGAGAGCTTTTTCCTGCCGGTGGCTGTATTAATGAGTTGGCAGATGTGAGAGGTGATGGAGTCACCACTTAGAGGCAGGTAGTGGTGAGCAGGGTGGCAAACATTCATCCCATCATCCGCTCCACATGACAGCGGCCACCGAGCTTTTGCCTGCTGAAGCATGAGACCAGCAGGAATCTGGGTTAAAGGATAATATTGAGTCGTCGTCCCCCCCACCCTCCGTCTTATCTATTGCCTCAGCAGAAACTTTGAAAGGAAAATGAGTCAAACAAATGCACATCTCACTCAACTAATGCTGCTCATTCTCTATGTTCATGCTTAGAAATGTCGTGAATTGCTTCCTCGCTCGGAAATGAATCATCAGCTCCTCAAAGTAGGATTTGGTAACCTGTTGAACAAGAGGAATGAACGTTTGTCTTGTGTCACAACGTAGTCAGGTTGTTTTAATGTCATTTAAATTCAGGACAAATGCAGGAAGAGCTTTTCATTTTAGCTCCAAAATTATAATGTGCATCTAAAACCCTCTTCAAAACAATATATTGATGACATTGATATTGATGACATCCGGTTAATGACACAGTTTTCTTACATTTCTTGAAGAACCCAGGACAACTGATCGAGCATAACCTGACCTTTTAGTAGCATGAACAGAATATTAAAAGTTAAAAATATAGCGCAATACAAACTCCAAACTGGTCACCACAGATTGACTAAAATGATGAATGGCATTCTCCGGTGATTAGAAAAAGACCTTTATCACTGCTGGTATGTTGTTGTTGTTGTTGTTGTTTTTTGACGCCATGCTTCAGGTGAAAAGCCTTCTTCTACACTCCAGCTCTAATCTTCCCTCACAGATAGAGTCCTGCCCGATAGGAAGTTGTTGAGAAATGAATGACCAAATGATGGACTTTGTGGTACTGAACTACAACCCAAGAACACTGTAAGGTGTACAACGTTAACGTGTTTTTGGACGGTTGCGTCACGCCCCGGCCCCCCGTGTTAAACATTGAACACTAACTTTCTGCTGGAGATGCGTTTATCTGCGAAAGTCTAATTCATGGGTCATTACGCGTAACGTGGTCTTAGTCAACACTTTTTTTTCAGGATTTCAAACCAAATTCTTGGTATGAATTGAGCCGCTCATCCGCCTCGGCCCTAACATACCTTATTAAAGCCATTCAGAAAAAAAAGACGTTGGTTATGTAACGTGCTCTCCATGCTTTGTGCACTAGCTGCTTCAAGCCCGGGGCTTTGTCATCCATCTTATTATGAAGCTCAAATATCTCCTGCCTCATATTATTACAACTCCTAATTATTCCTCCACATCGCTTGTATTATTTGAAAAGGTTACCTCATGCCAAACCTCTTTCTCTTTGGAGACTATTATGTAATTTTTCTATTAGCGCAGGAAACGGGGACACTGAAGTAGTGACCTGAAACACTCGTGGCACAGTAATTCATTTCATTCCTTTCTGATTTTCTGCGGTTCCCATCACACTAATCAGCGTTTCATTCAGTGCACTCAACACAACGCAGGGCTTCAGAAACTCCGAAAAACTGCCTTAAAAGTCAGCATTTTGCAGCTCGTGATTTTTTTTTTGGCACATAAGACAGAGTTATTAATGCACGTCCATCTGTCACCGCTATTGACCGGCATACTCCCTTTGCGTGACCAGATGCATGTCCAGGTGGCCTGGACAAACAAAAGCATATCAGAGACACTAACAAGCACAGTGTTTGGTTAGTTGTGGGATGAGAGGGGAGCGCAGAGATGACTGGCTCTCTCCGGCCAGAGATTAGCCAATGATAGAGCGGCCGTGCCCTCGCGCTGTTGGAAAAGGTTGGACCCCCCGATGGTGCCCCAGAATGCTTGTACAGTATTGCGTGTGGCTGGGATACTTCATTATGTAAGCTTTTCCTCCCAGCAGAAACATGTTTGCTTTTGCTGGTATGAACACTTTGTACAGAGTCCTGGGCCGAGCACAAGCACATTCAGTGATTTCCGAATTCTTTGACTAATGACCATATCTGTCCTGTGTCGTTGGATTTTGAGTCCCTGCTGTCTTTATTTTTTTTTTTTCGTGATATCTTTTACGAAGTTGTGTGCGCCACAAAAGAGACTTATTGAAAACTGGTGATAGTCAGAGATGTGTATTTACTGTACTTATAGATTTTTTTTTTTTTGAACATTTAGATTATTTTTTTCTGCCAAACATTTTAAAGTTCACCATGTTTGCCGCCAGCACACGACCAAATCCATGAACCTGACAGACAGAGCAATTCACACTTACAGAATAGAGAACAAGAACACGTAACAAATTCACCATGACTAATACCTCTGTGAGTAATCCACCATTCTGTCAATAATTACTCACACTGTCTTCACTGTCATTGGTCCGAATGTGGCCCCGCTGTGCGCTACTTCAAAGCACAGTCCCGTGACTCCCGTCCTGAACGACCAGGGCCGAGCTAGCGGTGGGTGCAGGAGAGGGAGAAAGACAACGATTATATTGACGGGGGTCGTTCTTGACACCCCGGGTCACGGCCACAGACCCGGTCACCCCACTTTCATGTCTCCCTGCTCAGGGCCAGAAAACAAACATGGCTGTGAGCACCAGCTCTAGCTGCATTACGCACTGGCTGTGTGTTGGTGCCAGAGTGGCTGGAAGGCGATGCGGCGGTAGCAGGCTGGGACCCAGTCAAAGGTACTCCATCAACTGTAGTGTGAGGTTAAAGTTGAGCATCTGTATCTTATACTTGGATCAATCACATTGATCATATGTATTCTCTTCTCTGCTCTTTTAGAGCACCTTAGAACAGCATTCACACGCCAAATAATTGCGGAGTAACCTAAATTCCTTCAAATACACATACAGTATACGGGTCATGTAGTGACTATACAATAATCCCACAAATAGAGGTAAAGTAATAAAGACAAATGCCTCAGATGGAACAGTCTGTGACAGATATGTACATACACATAAACAGGGAAATGTATATGGGAAATAGAGTATTGAGTATGGATTATTTCTTCTTTCAAAGAGATAACGCAAGTAAAGAGAGAACAGTGACACATCTACAGTGTCTGTGTGTGTCTGTGTGTGTGTGTGTGTGTGTGTGTGTGGTAGGGGGAGGGGGGGGGGGGTTTGCAGGAACAGCACTAGAGGCCTGAGAGGGGAAGAAGAGAAGAGCCCCAGTTACTGAGTAACCCAGCGGCGTAGTCCCATACTCACCTTTCCCCTAATAGCCCTTCACCTTCCGAACCACGTGAAGTGGGCCTGTATGCTGACTCCCCATAGTGTGCACTCAAACAGACAAACCACCAAAGCTTAGCCAGTGACAGAGAAACACGGCAGCACACGCTCACAAGAGCATTAAGTGGAAGTTTACCTTGACAGCAGAACAAGTAGAATAGCAGCAGCATAAAGGGGGAATGCGTGTCCTTTTAACTGTCCCATAACACAAAATGACCAGAGTGCTCAACACTTGGGAGCCATTGGGCCATGTGTGGTCACCTGTAGTGTTTGCCGTGTGATCAGTGTGAACTGTCCCTTTCGCTAAGTCCCGCCCTCATATGCAGAATCGTAGCGTAGAATCTGCTGGCACCAACAACCGTCTGGTTCCGCTCCAAAGACTCGTTAAAATCGTTTCAGATTTTCTACGTTTTCAGGCTAGTTTTGTAGATTTGGAGTTAGTCATGGTTAAAATGTCATGTAATAGTGTTGCTCATTATCCAGAGAAGTTGAAAGGAGAAAAAAAAGCTGTGGAGCTAACATTTGCAGAGTACGTTATCATGAACAAGCTTTAGCACGTCTATGCTACGCTAGTTGCTGAAGCTATACTGAGTGTGTACACATGCTGCTTTTGGTTTTAAATGATTGTAACAGTGGTACAGGTCTTCCCAGCTTTACAGGAACAGTGTTAATTCATTTAATTTAATTTCATTGTCTTCTGTCTCGACCGGCAGGTGATGAGGTGGTTCACTTTCACACAGTTAACAGTAACATTCGCTTCCATTTCTATCTTTTAACTTGTTTTTGCTGCTGAATTTGTTTGATATCCTGGATATTGTAGACCCGTCTGTCTGCTTCTCTCTGAAGCGTTCCGCTCTTCAAAAAATCTGATATATTTATGCAGGGAGTGCAGTTAGTGACAGTGTGGGCTCCACGGTAGCTCTGACAGCTTGACGGAGGAGCATCGGGGGTCGGGGCTTAGCGGAAAGGTCAATTGGCTTTAGTCAATCCTCATCGGCGGTAATTCGACAGAGCGTTCTGAACTGACGTCGGAGGCAGCTGAGCTTAGCATTCAGTGAAGTTTCTCTGTTACGCCTTCACCTGTTCTTTGGGCTGACAGCGTCATTGCGAAGCAAAGCTTTGATCAGCTCGATTCATCTTTTTATCACGCGGAATCACAATAGGTATTTTGAGCACATGACGAGATTGTTTTCGTTAGACCGCAATGTTTTTGGA